GAAGGGTCCAGACCCGAAACGTCAGCTTCCCTGCTCCTCTGATGCTGCCTGGCCTGCTGTGTTCATTCAGTTCTACACGTTGTTACCATGCACCGTTCCTGGAAGAATTCGCTGCTCATTGGGTATCCACTGAAAGACCAGCATCCCTGGCACCTGAGCCATATTTAAAAGGCCATACATCCAGGCAAGCAGTAGCATTCCAAAGCTGTCCTCCTTGGAGAGGGATATTCATCCATAAGCCGTTGGAGAAGGGGAAAATGACGCTGTGATTCTCTGACATGGACCTGGAGAAACTGCTGGAAGTGGTGGCGCATAGGACCAGCAGAGGAGGCTACACCACCAGATTCTGCCAGTTAAGGTGGATTGGCCATGCTAAATTGCCCATAGTGTCCAGGGATGTGCAGGCTAGGTAGGTGACAATGGTAAATGTGTGGTCATGGGGATAGGTAGGATGCTGTTCAGAGGGTAAGTGTTGACTTGATGGGCCAAATGGCTTCTATCTACACTGTTGAGATTTAGTGATTCCAGGGATTTTATGATCCATGTGCCCAGGATATCTCAACCATCCAGCCTTCTGCACCAGCTGTGCCACCAACTTTCTTTGCATCCGAACCCTCCCTTTCTCTCATTTCAGGAGAAGGCAGACCACGATAGGGCAGAAAGAGCCTAACACCAGGCTCCTCACCCACAATAAGAGAATCCTGGTCCTCACAGGAGAGAATCAGGTACGCTTCTATGTGGATTCTGTGACATCCATTTCTTGCCAACCAAGTATTCATTCTTCATTCCACTGTAACTCTCACAGTAATGCCACGGGCAGCATCATTCATTGCACACCACTTCTATCCATTGGCTGTGACACCTTTCTTCCTTGAGTCATGCAGGTACCAGTGGGATGCCCATGATCTCTGTGGAGAAATGGCCAGCTCCATCAATAACCCCCATCCTCAATCACTGAGGAAGAAAGTACCAAGGCCTCAGCAAAAGCATTAGCAAGCCTGCCACCCTGCAGAAATTCAGGTACCAAAGATCCCAAGGGAACATTTTAGTTAGAAAGTTTGAGAGCACGATCTGGTGAGCACCTCACTGTGACAGCTCCACAGATAGCTGAGGAAGAGATGCCCCTAGCCCCTGGAACTCAGAGCTCTACCAGAGACCATGCAACTGTGCAGCCCCAGGCAGAAGAGGGCCTGGGATTTAGGTCATCAGGGATTTGTTCATGCGCACAGGGAGGAGTAGGAGTGGCAGACAGATCTGTTGGAAACAATGGCCTGATGGCCCAAAAGCTATAGGACAGCAGCTACGTTATGGGGACCCAGTTGCCTCAAGCCTGCCATTATCTGGCTATGCCCACAGAGAGGTTGGTGGTTGTCGTGGAGAACCAGGTCCAGCACACTCAGAGCTGTTATTTTGCTTTGTTAGTACTCACTCATTTTACCATGTACATGAAGGTTGCTAGCCTCTGTAAACTTCACATTGCATTCTTAACGTGCACTTACTGATGTCAGCCCTGATTTAAAAGCAGCTAGTGTCTGTGTGGGTCACATTAGCATGCAGAGTGGTTAGCACCCAGTGACAGGCCACCAGTCTCCCTGGCTTGCATTGCTTTTTAATGGAGGGGCAGAAGCAGACAGTTTGTGGTGATGAGTAGTACTGAATGGTCAGTTAAATAAGGAGTTATATCAGTCAGATAGGGAGTACACATGTTGCTGTGTGCCATGGTGCTATGCCACCATCAGACCTGATGGATTTGCCAGCAGTTTATGGGGTTTACTACACAGAAAACACACAGCAAGTGCTTCACACAAGTGGCACTGGGTGAAAGTCAAAGAGGAGAATTTCTTCGGAGAGTGAAGGAGGTCTACAGTTAGTTAGTGGGTATCATCATATTCAGTAAAGGGAATACTCCTGTTTGTGCAGGGGTTTGGCCACAATTAGGCAGGTACTTTGTCCCACCAAGACTGGTGATCTTTGACCCTGCCATCTTGGGATTGGGTCGCAGTCAACCTGCAGATCAAGTGCAAGCAGTCTCAGGCGAGTCAGTCAGGCTGCTATTGAGCCTAGAGCCTGGAAAGTGGGCCATGCTCAGTTGGGGCCGCTCTGCAAGTCAGTTGGTGTGGGTGACAGTCATTCCTGAAGGTTTGGTCAATAATGGTCAGAGGCAGCTCATGGAATCTTGGGAAAACTTGCCAAATCAAGCCTCAGAATGGGCTTCATTGTATTAGGTCACTAATGCAATAGCCACTATGATGTGTGAGGGGCTTAGCAATTGTAGATTGTAGGGTGGGATCTTGTAGTGAATAGAAGTGAACTGGGAGCTCCATAAAAGAGATGGTGGGTATCAAACAGGTTACAATATTTTTGGCTTCTACATGGGTAGGGTGGAAGGCCAAGGACATGAGAATTTCCAAAGACATGTTTTCTGGGAGTAACGTGGGGACATCAATAGATATGTAAAGGAACTCAACAGAAGTGGGGGCAAAGATGAGGCGAGGCTGAAAAGTCATCAGGGGCACAGGGACAACAACACAAAAGGTAATGTGAAAGATTGAGGGAAACTAGTTCACCACAGACAGAGTCTGGAACTCGTTCACACTGAATGAAGGAAAGGTGGAACCTTGCCATGTCAGATTGAAAGCCAACTGTGCAAAAACTGCACAAAATGGCTGCAATTACATGCAAAGTGGGTGGAGTAATTTTGTGTTTTTTTTATTCTCATGAACTCAGACTCATTAATGTTTCCACAAAAGAAGGAGGACACTCAGCCCATCATGTCTGTGATGGTCAACAAAGATCTGACTACACTAATGCCATTTTCCAGTTCTTGGCCTACAGCCCTAGAGGCTATGGCAATGTAGTGATTATTTAAATATTGGTTAAATATTAAAAAGATTTCTGTCTCAGTCCCGTACCCCTTTTCAGTCTGTGAGTCCCATACTCTGTCACCCTCTGGGTGAACAAAAGTTTCCTCAACTTTTCTCTTGGCCTTTTACCACTCACCTGCAACCAATGCTGCTTGCATTTGGGCTCCTTTTTTAATAGTAAAGTGTATTCCTATCTAACCTATCCATGCCCCCTCTTATCTTATACATCTTTTTAGGTCCTCTCTCAACCTTTGTTGCACCCAGGAAAACAACTCCAGCCTATCCAATCATTCTTCATAACTCAGACCCTCCAGCCAGGCAGCATGCTGGTAAATCTCCTCTGCACACTCTCAAATTTAATCACATCCTTCCTATAACGACCTGAACTGCATGCAGTACTCCAGTGGTAGTCTAAACAGCATTTTACATAGTGCCAGTATAATCTCCTTGTTCTTGTATTCTGTGCCACGGCTAATAAAGGTAAGTATCCCACAAGCCTTCTTAACCACCTTGTCCATCCTCCAGGGATCTGCGAAAATGCATATCTAGGTCCCTCTGAAATCCAGTATTTTCCAGGCTCTGAACCCATAGTGCAATCTCTTGCCTTATTAGCTCTACCCAAGTGCATTACTTCACACTTTCCTTCCATTGATATCCCACTGCAGTTTATCTTCCCCACGATTGACCACCCTACCAATTTCCGTATCATCCAAGGACAGAGTAAAATTCTTGGAATAGGTTGTTCTCCTAGGGCCAATTGCAGCAATCATGCCTTCACTGATTGAATAATGCCACCCGCCTGCCTTCAAGTTGCACTTTATCAGCAGGTCATTCATTGTGCAAGAATACAAATTCAAAGTTATGACCTCAAGCAATCAGGACTATGATATTGTGCATACTATTTTCCTCCTTGTCATGTCAGATAAACAACTGTGATAAGAACAAAGCACGTAAAAGTAGAACCTGGAGCTCTCATTTCACAACCATGTTACATAGCAAACGGTGGTAGACATGGCCTTGCAGCTGTTGGATTGACGCACGAAGGCTAAGAATGCAGGCATTTGGTCTTTGATGTAGAACATAGACTTCACTTTGGAGGCAGGGGGGATCATCAAAGGAGCATACTGGAAAAATTCTACAAAAGGAGCATGAAAACTTTGGCTGTCCAAAGATAAGGTCACATACCTCCGAGCTCCTTATGCCAATGGCCTCCTTAGAAAGCCTCCATGCTGCACTTTGTGAGGGAGTATCATGAGGCTTCTTTGTGATGAATGTGAGTGTGCTGGAGTTCCCTCACTAAAGATTGTCTGCTTGTATATCTCACACAGGCAAAGCTGCCATTGGAGTCAATGTGACCTTGGTGCAAAGATAACTTAGAAGGAGACAATGATAACAACTTGGTCAACAAATCCAGCTAAATTGGTAATCTCTAGTGGGTGTCACACAGCCACCCAAGAGGGAAGTAGCAGGATGAATATCCACCAAGGAGGTATCTCCAGGCCTTGCTGTCATTTCTTCAACTGTCTGAAAGATTGCCCATTCCAGCATCTCTGTTGTGTTGCCGAATGGAGGAAGACTTGTGCTCAGAAGGACTCTGTGGCAACTCTTTGTCAATGGTTGCCAGTGGTTCATTTCAAAGAACAACTAGGGACCTGTGCGGTTTCTTCCAATCCTCAACCCAAAAATGTATTTATATGTAACAGCATATAATGCATATGAAATACATATAAAATGCACTTATATGTAACTGATGGCGTTTCTTATACAAATCACAGCTTCTCCCATGATAAGGAGTGTCAAGCAACTCGAGTAATGGGATTCTCCACCATCACTGACATTCCCCAGGTCCAGGGCATTGTTGAATGTATTCACATTGCACTGAGAGTACTCTATCAGCAAAGTTCAGAATACGTCAACTTAAAAGGATACCACCCCCTCAATGTTCAAATTTGCATGAACGTTGATGCCAAATTCTGGATGTCTGTGCCAGGGAGGTGTCATGACTCTTAAAAGAGAACTCACAGATTCCTGCCTCCTTCCGAGGTCCTCAGGCCATCCATGGATTTCTGCTTGGAAATAAGGGCTATCCCCTCCAACGATGGCTCATGACATCATTATGAAACCCTCAGACTGGCAAAGAACAAAGATACAACACTTTTGTTTCTACCATGGCCAATAATGCAACATACAACAACCCTCCTAAGCTGAAGTTTCGATGCTTGGACTGCTCCAGTGGGGCCTTGTAGTTCAGCCTA